CCCCCCCCCCAATATGAAATAAATTAATTATAACATGTACATGAAAATGTAGAAACATTGGACACAAGTATGGGGCACCATTGTGCAGCAGCAAGCATCACATGTATAAGGCCCCATTCCTATATTTTGCCTGGGGTCCCCAATTCACTAAATCCACCCCTGCCAATCACAGCACATTTCGTATTTCAGAAGGCGGGCCTTCATTTGATACAGGAACTATTCGAGCCGTTCATGCCAGACTGGGGAGAGAGGTTGTTGTAATAATGTAAAATATGAAAAAGAATGTGTTTTTCAAACAACCTAGTATGAGAGCCTGTTCTAGTACACCCCCAAAACAAAATCAAGACTTTGTAAAAGAGCATAATAGGACCCCTTTAAATTTTTGAATTTCCATTGATTTTACGCTTTAAAAGATGTTACACAATCTCGAGCAAGCGTCTCCAGTCCTGTTCCTGGAGATCTACTGTCCTGCAGATTTAAGGTCCAACCCCGATCAAACACACCTGAAGCAGCCATCAGGGTCTTCAGGGTTACTTGATAATGACAGGCAGGACACCTGCAGGAGGAGTAGCTCTCCAGGAGCGGGGCGTTGGGGGACCTCTGGTCTATAGATGTTTGAATGTGACTGGGGCCTTTTAAATTGGTATTGAAATGTCATGCACTTTGATACTGATGGTTTGCCTTTTTGGAAATTGAGCAAGACAAACCAAATGATGATGAGTCACAGTCCATGTGCACCTTAAAGTTCAGAGTCCTTTCTTGTCTAATTAGCACTCTCCATGCTATCTGCATTGCAAAACAGACACGTTGCCTGGCTTTCCAAATATAATTAACTCTAAATTCAGGATAAACTCACAGATATGTTAGCTAAAGTGATCTTTAATCACAGCCATCAATGACGACCTGCCTGTTTTATTCATTAGAGAAAGAAACCTCTAGGCTACAAATGTCCATCTCTTTTCTGTTAAAAGATAGTTCTATCCATATAAGATGGGTAGTTAAGCCAAAAATGAAAATTCTGTCATCATTTGCTCATCCTCATGTCATTTCAAATGTCATTGTTCATCTTTAAAACACAAATGAATACACAGATATTTCTAAGTAAACACCAAATTGTGACAAGATGCTTCAGAAGTTCATAAAGATTTATTTTAGGCTTTTGTTCACATATAAGTGCATGCACAGAGCACAATAAATATGGTCATGCAAAGCTCAAATACTCTTTCTTGAAGTGGAAGTCGTTTGACAGAAAATGGACAGAATTTTCATTTTTGGGTGAACTGTGCCTTTAAAGTTATTGTCTTCGTTACATAGTTAGATTAATGTTCCTCCATTAGTGGCCAATCACTGAGGATTTGGTTTTACAATACGTTTCAATTCATCAACAATTCACGTGCTAACATTTCAAGTATACATCAAAGTGAATTAATTATGAATGAACATGAACTAACAATAAATACTAATATGTTTGTAAATTAACATCAACAAATGCGTCAGAAATGTAGTTCATTATTAGTTCATGACATTTAATGCATTAACAATCCATTTTCCAAACCGCCTGTCCTACTGTTTGTAGGGTCGTGGGGATGCTGGAGCCATCTTTGAGTTATTTAGTTTAAAGAGAAATTAGCCGAGTTAGAGAGTGAATGCTGGGACTGCACTCTGGACTTTAGAGAGCAGCAGTGATGCTGCATACTGCTCTGGGACAGTCTCTCTAACAGCAAAATCAACCCGCTGACCCTGAGAAGCTCCATTAGATCAAAGCAATTACGGCTATATTGAGACCCTGAATGTCCTTTTAAAGAGTTGAGATGTCCCCCTCTGAATACCATCGTCACCTGTAACATAAGGTCAGGCGTTGATGAGAACCTTATTTGAGGTTTAATATAATTTATATATTGGGGACAGATGTGCCGCTTTCATTCTGCATTTGCTAAAAAAAACTTGAACAAGGGCTTTATTCAAAATGAGACAATGAACAATGTCAGATTAGAGGCTCATGGGAGATTTTCCAGAAGGTCTGCACTGTGTTCAGAGAGAGGTGAGAACAAGATCGTGGAAGACCGTTCAAAAGAAAGAAAATGTGAAAAATGAAGCACTTTTGTCCACTTTACTATACAAGTCAAGGCATCAGCCGTACACCTGCAAGCCTCTGCAGCTGTTCATACTGCGCTCCACTTCAGTTATCAGAAGAGAATTTTATACTTACTTAAAGCTACCTTCACAATAAGGATGACCCTTGTGCAAGAGAATTTCGATCCATTTAACAGTCTGTTTTGTTGAAATCGCAAGCCTTGTGATAGATAGAGGAAGCATCAAACAAACCGGTAATGTTCTAAAACGTATGCCATTGAATTCCAGCAAAAGTGTTCATGAATTCATGAGTTATATTTATAGTTGTATTTCCAGCTATTACTGTGAATTTTTCTTGTCGTTTTATTATTTTTAGTACTTTGTGCTTTGAACATGTTTTCCCCTGACACGTATAAAATGTATAAATGCTCAAAATGAAATGTCCTTTTTTTGTGTTGGGAAAATATTGGCAGGTCAATTAGGCAAGGCTACTGACTAAATGAGCCTATTGAAAAAAAAATCTAGAGCTCTTGTGACAATACCATGGTACAGTGGTAGTATCAGGTGGAACTGATATGTACTGTTGTGTTGGATGATGGCCATATTGATATTTACATTGTACTTTTTGTTAATGTAAACTGGGTAGCACTTTATTGTACAATCCTGTTCCGCGTGTGCATGCTGTGTACTTATTATAGCATTTACAATAACTGTACTAACCCTGAACTACCCCTAAACCTAACCTTAAACATGTTTACCATATATTACCCAGTACTGTCTTGGGTAAGTATGCTGTAAGTACACATACTGTAAAATAAACTGTATCCAAACTGATCTTCAAGCATTAGTTCTAATTCCACAAATGTGTTGCATATTGGGATGAATATGCAGTGGTGTGGAGAATGATGATTCGTTCTGTTGTCCTTCTGTCTCTACAGCTGGTAATGTCAGTGTATCAAGGCGGATACAACTTCTTCTGCCAGAACACCCACAGTGGAGGAGAGGCTGACAACAGGGTAAAACAACAAGCTGAGTTTTACATTGTGTGAGATATGGACAATTCTAAGATTCAGCTTTACTCTTTGATCATAATCCTCAGAAAAGAGACATTATTCCCCGTCAGGCTGATGTGAGTGTACAGTTGACCTGGCTGCTCTGTTCCACAAATTAGGTGGACAATAATTTTTTAAGGTTTCGTGAATCGTTCTATTCCCTTTGTTATCGTATTGTTAACTAGGACTAGAAAGAGTGATTCTAAAAGAGTTCTTTGTATAAAGGCTAATTTATGTCAGCATGTCCCTGAAAACCTCTTGGCAGTGCATGGTGCTGGGTCATCGGGTTTGGTGCTCGGTGAAGTCACCTCATGATCCACAGCATGGACCTGTGATGGTTTATTTCAAGATTTAAAAATGCATCCCCTTTGGATACTCTATTATATCCTAGTAGAAAAGAAAGAGGAAAGGCTATCTGAATATATGGTGAATGGAAACAGTGGTGAATTGGTCAGTAACTTTTTTTTCAGACAGGGCTTAGTGAAGAGTCTTTTTAATACTATAAACAAATGACCCTTGTACAGAATTACACTTTAAAAAGTATTATTACTGAAATAATATACTTTAAATAAATATACTTAAGTGCTAAGTGAATGTAATGTAATGGCACTTAATTGCATGTTGGTTGAAATTGAATGAAAATTTAGCATGCTTGCACTTTATATTAAAGGTGACGTATCATGAAAATCTGACTTTTCCAGGTTTTAAGTGCTATAATCTGGTCCCCGGTGCATCTACCAACCAAGGAAACGTTAAAAAGATTAACC